GAGAACCACTACTGCAGAATGACCTGCTGGAATAACAGGTAGATTAGATGTCAGAATTTGAGACACAAATGAAAACTCATCTCTTCCAGCAGGTCTACCCTGTCAATTTTAAATTGTGAATTTTAATCTGGATTTTAATAGTGGATTTTAACTTGTATTTTAACTGTGCATCTTGTTACATGTATTTTATAATGCTTTATCTCTTGTTTTAATTATAGCCTCGAGCCACAGGTAGAGGTGTTGTTGTTGTTGATAAAACAAAGGCCAAAAATTTGCAAATCATAGCTTTTCCTCCAAAAAGACAAAGCTTCTAAACTAAACCAATGATCTTCAAAACCTCACAAACACTATACATTCTTGCTCAAAAGTTCAACTGAATTGGACTGGGCTTGCTTTTGGTCAAGTTGGCATAGGATTGAAGTCAAATCTTCATATGAAAATTTGAATTTGACTGACATTCTACATTACATACATTGTTAAGATACTGGCTCAAGAATCTATACAAATGGGATTTTAAAATGTTGAGTAAAAGGCTGTCCTGGTATGTTTCAACTGTTTCAAGGGACAGGTCTTTCCAAATCAGGATTTACCAAATTGTCATTCCACTATGCACAAGTTGATGCTCCTGGACTGAAATATACTTCTTCCACCTTGTGCATGTGAAGTGCTATGTATTTATTCAAAGCAAGGCTTAGTTTCTTGGTCTTTATTAAGAAACAGGCATGATGGCTATATGAAAATTCCAGCCCATATCCTATGCATTTTAATCAGTGCTGGTTATAGCTTCAAAAATGCACACAACTATGGATTTTAGCTATTCCTTTATTGAACTGGAAAACATTACTGATGATAATGTTATTAATAAGATTGAAATGAATAATACATTGCAATTATAAAAACTGCTTAAATTCTATGTTTATTGCATGTAAAGAAAATATAGGATGGATAATTATTAATATTCAGCTTGAGTTAAGAAAACTCAAGTATGACCGAGAGCAGCATTTTAGTAAATTTTATTTTATTTTTATTGTGATATCTTTATTTTACGTTATCTTTAGTTGGTAAGGCACCGGTGTGCACATCTATAATATATCGATTTGTACTGGCGTTTAATGTGATATAAATTAAAAACCAAGATTATCAATTTATTGCATATTTTACATTGTCTTAGGCCTAAAACAAGTGAGGAAGAAGCAAAATTATGGCTAAATTGCCTTCCCAGATCTCCAGAGGAGCCAGTGTAGTATAGTGGTTTAAGCATTGGACTATGTGAAGCCCATGGTTTGAATTTCCACATAGCCATGGAAGCCCGCTGTGTGACATTACACAAATCACATTCTCTCAGCTTCAAAAGAAGACATAGGCAAATCCCCTCTAAACAAATTTTGCCAAGATTTGAAAAAACAAGGTGGGAGTGGGTTCCGGGCACCATGCTCCCCTTCTCTTATTTTAAAACAAAAAGAAAACGAACACTTACATAATATCACCCCACAAGTTTTTCTTTTTATTCTTAAAATATAATGGCCTAGCTTCTTCATTTTCAATGGAAAGGAATGGATTTCAAACAAATACTAGTCTTCACCGGGAAGAAAACTGTCAGAAATATACAAAATACTGCTAACTTATAAATAAATGAATTGACTACAGAAACAATGGTTTTAACAAATGTTAAAATGAAGTTTATAGATTGTTATTACAATACAACTTCTGTACTCAGTTGTTACAATTAACCATGAGAATAAACTTAGAAAAAATTAGGACACTGACTTCAATATGAGACTTGATGTATTTTTAATAATTGTTTTAAAATGGCTTATTTTGACTTTATACAATTATAGATTCCTTTGCATTAAATAGGGATGAAATCTGGGCTCCTAGAAGTTAAAGATACAAAGTTTGAACTGTTTACTGGCGAGTAATCTGCTTGAAGTCAGTGCATTTACCCGAGAGTTGTGTTATTTAAAAACTGAAAGTTGTATATCTTTAGGAATATTGAGAGTACTGTATATACCCATGTCTAAGCCGATCTTATTATATGTTGAGGGCACGTTTTGGGGCCAAAATTATGGATTATGATATGATACACGAGTAAGTTATGAGTTATTCCTTGGAGGGGGAAAGTACCTGTGTCATCTTAGAGGATCAGGAGCCCTTGGCTGCCACCATTATTTTCTCACCCAGGAATTCAAAAAGGCCAAAAGTAGGTGGAAAAGGTAAGGAGACTAATGCATCTTTTTAGTTCTCCTAGGACAGACTAAGCTTTTACCTTTTTTCTCATTATTCTCAGTAAAGGGCATGGTTCTTTTCTTTTTTAAATAAGAGTTATGCTACTGTATTTACATTGATACTCATGGATAAGTCAACATAAGTTTTTTGAACTAATTTTGACTAACATTTCTAGACTTATGAGTATATAGGGTAATGTAGGGTCATGTATTAGGGAAACAAGAAGATACTGCTATTAATGATGATTTTTTATTGTTTGTGTTTTTAGCTTAACAGATATTGACATGGCCAGGTGTCCCTTTATTCAGAAGATTTCAAATCATACAAATTGTGTAACTTCAGAATGGCTCAACAAAGAATCAAACTGGTTTTTCTGGGCACACCATATGATTTACCAATATGATGGTATCTGCCCTTTTGCTGTGAGCTGACAGAGATTATTTCAAAGAAGGAAAATGTGGAATTAGTAATGAAGATGCTGAAAGGCAAGTGGCAAGACTCTACAAGAAGAATACCTTTAATAATTCTATTTGTTCCCAATTCTACTGGCACATACCCACAAGGTAAGAGGCCAGAATGACCAAAAGCCAGTTTAATAGTAGTGTGCAGAATGTCAGCCAAACAAACAACATAAAACAAGTCACGCTGTGTTATCTGTGGTCACGTTCTTCAGTGTTAGTCCAAGTACTCAAGACTTTACATTCTTCTGTCGTTCCTTGTTTCTTTAATTAAACATGTAATTGTTAATAAACCAACATAGTCCAGAGTTAGTAGGTTGGTATTATAACATTTATTAAAATAATGCTATGGGTTAATAGAAACAGCAAAGAACCAAAGAATTAAAATGCAAGCTATGTAAAAACCCAACTAAAATCCAAATATGTCTAATGTATTCAATTTAGTAGCTAACTAAAAGCCCCAAAAAGACAACACTCCCATTATAATAATAAAGTACTGCAAAACAATTGGCAATTCTCAGTTATCAAAATTGTGGGTTTTGCATTTTGTATCCTTTTCTCAATCAGGAAAAAAATTCTTCTGAATGTTATATAACATACATATAAAACAAGATAGAAAAATACATTATAAACTTGTAACAATGGCTGTAAATACATTATCTTACATGTTTCTCATAGGCAATAGGTTGGTTATGGTACATACATAGCATCAAACTAAGATAAAGGAATAGACAAATACATGTCATCTGTACGGTTACATACAAGCGACACTCCCATATACCCACTCTAAAAATTACATAATACTGTCAGAAAAAAAGACTTAAAACTACATATTTTAATGAAGAAAATTCATAAAAAATGATAATACTGAGAACCAAGGCATTCAGAGATTTCAAAAGTCATGCTTTTAAGTTGATCAAAAATGTTGTCAACTAAGTCTTCAAACTCTTTTTCAGAACAAACATTACTTTAAAAAGTCACACTTATCCCAAGAAGAGACCTTTGATCAGCATCTAAAAATGTCCAGGTTTATCATAGTTGAGATGAAACTGGATCAAATACTGGTAATGTTTTAGCAATTCTCTCTCCAAAATGTTTTGAGTGTCGCAAGTTTAATCAACCAAACAAAAAAATCAAAATGGCACAGCATATACTGAAAGTCAATATACTGAAAGTCAAACCAAAAGGGAAAAAAAAGAAAAACCCCATGTGTAACAGGAAGACAAAGCCAGTGGCAGGATAAAAGAAAAGCTAGCTGAGTACAAAAGGATGGATGTTTATTGCATAGTAAATAAACTGATACTTGTTTCCAGGTGAGACGACGTTGATAAAGTCACCATGCAGGTGCTTTCAAAAGAAGCCCTCTTACCTAACTTACTATTGATCTTTGCTTTGCAAGCTGTGAATTTTTTAGGAGAATAAGTTGACACAATGGAGGGGGCAATTTATCACCTGATCTTTGCCAAATCTGGTTCAAAACCATTAGCATTTGACTCCTTGATCATTTTATACCTCACCTTTGTGCGTAAAGTGTTCGTCATCAGTAGCCCAGCTATGTAAACCTTTTTAAAATTCAAAATGAAACACAGCTAGACTTTGAAGAACTTAATACTTTTTTTTCCTTTTAGTAAAGCGCAACCAGCAGTTAACATTCATCAAGTATGAGTTTGATGAGAATTATGCACTGTGTACCTTATTTGGCATGATAGATGAAACATAAAAGAAACTCAGAAGCATCCTCAAAAATTGGTTGTCTGAATGTTTGTTTTAGTCACAGACAAAATTATCTTGTAGCAAGTTCAAGTTCTGTTGTAGTTTCCTGCATCTATTTTAAATAGACACAGTACAACCTACCCTTATGAATGGAAGAGGGGAAAATGAAATACTTGCTAATGTATAAATACTATAAACAAATACTTCAAATTTTAAAAATGAGACTGCATCTTAGAACCCTTTGGTTTAAGGCTGAGCAAGTACTATAAAAATATACTGTCTACAACTGAAAAGGGAACATATGGTACAAAAATATTGTGGTTGGCTGTTGGTGGAAAACTTCTATTTCACAGTTTAGGATCTTTCCAAGTTGCATTATGCTATGGCAAAAACCAGGTAATTTAAATGGTCAACTCATTTGTCATACCTCACAGCTTCTTTTAACATACTGGGCGATTGAATGGCATGCATTAACTTGCTGTCTGAGGGAGGAGCTGATTATACGAGACATCTGACTAAATGATCATGAAGAAAATAAGGCACTTTCTTTTCTTTATACTTATTCCAATACTTAAAAAATAAAAAATAAAGACAAAAAGGCTCTTTTGGTCTTTTGTTTCTCGACAACCACCAGAAAAAATCATTTAATGAACTAAAGGGTTTCTTTGTTCTTTTTTCTTTTTTATAACACTTGAAAGTATAAAATGCTACATTTCCAAAAATATATTTTTTTTCTGCACCAGCACCCTTGTATAGTAAAAGTATCTACTTTTTTTCAATTTGTTTCAATGCACTACACTTTATCTACAATTTCATTACATGTATACAGCAAATAGGCAAGCATGGCTTTTACATCCTTATGAATTTTCTCTATACAGGGAGGTTTAAAAAAATATTTGAACAGTTTGCCCAGTAATGTGATACATAATGCATGTACCTTGTAATTGTGTAATCTTTTAAGGAAATTTATGAACAGTAAAACGAACTGTATTTCAGGATTAGGTTGAATAGTGTTGCTGTTTTGTTTATGCATTGATGTAGTTCAAAAATTCAGTAACCTATCTTTCATGGCACTTTTTTAAATCTTAAAAACACCCAATTTGGCAGGTAATATAAAAAAGGCTGCATCTTCTGCCCTTTGAGGGCATTGGTAGTGACTAAACTCCATGTCAAATTTTGAATACTTTTAGGAATCCCTTCACCAATGACATCCCTGACCAAAGAAGGTTCATGCATGACGCATCATCATACAGTACATTCAAAGAGAGCTTTGACTTCTTTATGAGAAGAAAAAGATTCCTAGAAGTCTCACAGTAACTGCCTCTGTCATCAGGGAGTTAAGGGACATCTGCCTCCTTCTCTTATGTGAGGCCCTTCTTACCATTCATTTAGGGTGGGACACTAAAAGATGATCAGTGCGGAGGGATAAATTGGACCTTATTGCTTTACTACTATTCAGTGCAGGTTCTAGAACCACTTTCACCCAAACAGGGAAAAAAAGCTGAGTTGGAGGACAACAAATTCTTTGTCTTTTTGTTTGTTTTTTGTTAGATGGTAAGACGAACAGACAAGTGCCTCAGCTCGCTGCACTGAAGACAGGCAAGCAAAGGCGATTACCAGTTAACTGATCAGCAGGCAGGCATGGTCAGGTCATCATTGGGTGAAGAGTTCAGAGGTCAGAAGGTCATAGGTTAGTTGCCGGTGGCGGCTGGGTGGTTAGGAACAAAAAACAAAACAAAAAAAGAAAGAAAGATAGAGAAGAGATTAGTTTCAGCTAGTGACGGCTTAATGACAACATGAAAACTAATCACAACTAATAAAAACAGGCATGTTTAATTCTGACATACTGCTTGACACCATCTACAAAATGCGATAAAAATCATGACAGACGTGTATCATGATTTGAACATATGAAGGAAAAGCCCACTCCCACAAAACTGGTTAACAAGAAAAAATAGAAATAAAAATACAACAACTAATGGTTAGTAGCAGTCAATGAAAGGGGAAAAAAACAATGAACAGTTTCTGGAACTCACTAAAAGAATTTAGAACAGTCAGTGCACTGTATCAGTATCTGACTGCTATTAAGCATTAGTATTCCCCCATGTGCAAGCATCAAAGCAACTAGTAATGATGAATGTGATTATTAATAACTGATTGTTAAAAGAAATGATTTTAAAGAATTCAATTTATCACAATTTGGTTTCACAAACTATGGGCCAAACAAGAGGTTTTGTTCAATAAACTTTTATTGCTTTTCAATGATTCTATTTACAAACAATACTGAATTTCTTGGCTTCATGATACACAGCAATACTAAATTGAAGTCTAGAAATGTAGGCATCATCGTGGGAACCAGGAAAAGGCCAAATGTTCTAATCAGCGTTTTCCTGCTGAAAATGCTATTGTACACAAATAGGAGACTAAGAAAATGCACTTGTATGTAAACACTGTAAAAGTCCTGCCATTTAAAATTCTATACTTAAAATGCTCTAGTTACATCAAAAATAGAAGAAATCTAATTGATACTAATAAGGCATTTTAAAAACTACAAACAGCTCTTTTTTCCAAAGCTAATACTCTGCAAATACAATAAAATCTGACGTTTCATATACATTCCTGCTTTATATTTTTATATTTTAAAAGAAGCCACCTGTAAATACTATTTTCTTTTCCAAAACACACAAAAATTACAGTAAAACATAAAAAAGTTCTCAAGTGGAAAGTTATCATTCCCAATCTTCTTGAGCTGTTCCTTCTTTAATGACTCACTCTCACATTCTCCTTCAACAACTTGGTCCACTTTACAGTAGTACAAATTTTAAGACTCATTTAACAGCTTTATCATCTCTAACAAATTCTGAGGTTTGATAAAAACATTTGTACTGTTGCCATTGACTAAAGCAGAGGAGATGAAGTGAGAAAGGCATTCAGTGCAAAGTCAGATTTGTGCCATTTCTTAAAATGAAACTCAGTAGGCGCAATGTTCACAGATAGCACACTTTTTATGACCTACCTCATGGGTTGAATTTACCTTCACATGTTACATTGTTTCTATGGCCTATCATTTAAGGCTACAGTTCTTGAAAACTAAACTCTACTGCTGTAACTTAAATGAGACCTTGTGTTCCCTGATTTAATTTTTTATATAAAAAATCCAAAAAACTGGGGTCTAAGTTAAAATGTTGTAGAAAAAAGGAGGATAAAAAAGAAAGAAAAAACCTTAAAATTTAAAAATAAATATTTAATGTGGCATCAATTTGCCACCTTAAAATGTATACTAGACATTTGAAATCTTAAAGCATTCTTGATATTTACTATGATTTTGATTAAAATGGTATTATAAATTTTATACATACTGTATGTGACAACTGGCATTGAGAAAAATAACATTCTGTTATGGTCTTAGCACTGTGATTTTTTGTGGTATTTAATAATCAGTGTAAGTTATCTTAAGATACCAGTACACCTGTGATACAACCTCTGCCAAGTCCCTGGCCTTCTACAGTACACACAGGTTTGTCAACTGTGCAACACCATTTATAGTTTATTACCATTAGACCTGTCAGTCTTCCCTGTTACATTAATCAAATTCAGTTGTGCATTACTTAGATAGCAGGGGGCCTTAACTTTAACATAAATTAAATATTGCTGGTCTTCAAATTTGATCTAAGAGTGAATACTGACATACTAGGGGATTTTACTTAAAATGTAATGCTTACCCATAAGCTACCACTAAGAATAAACACTTGCTTAATGACAGACCACGGTATAACCACATGCCAATGTAATTTTTTTTGGAGGGGGGGGGATAATCATAGAGCCACTGAATATACATATAATGTCTTATCTGCTCACAGATTTTTCTTATGAAAAGATAGCAATTCGGTTTACTGACATTGCATTTAACTAACCTTAATACTTGACAACCAATCAAAGCATGTCTAAATGTACTGTGGGTGCAAATAAAATTATTCATAATTTTTAACATAACAGGGGCATAAGAAAGCAAAATTTCTTTTGGGGTTAGAAGCTGGTTCTTGGCAAAACATGAACTGGACAGTAAGAAATGTGCACCAAGAATCTTACTGATGGGAGAAACTGCTGTAGCCCTTGCTACTGCAATACCATAGTCTGCTCAAAACTGACATAAAGGAGACAGAGCTTTGTGAAATTATCTACAATGTTTCCACAAATTACATATAGCACCATTAGCAAAAATGTGTAGAAATAGCCATTGAAGGAAAGAAAAAAAAAGAGATCACAGTATTATATACAAATGTGAAAGCACCTTGGGACCTCGTCTAGTTTAAAGAACTGCAAATGCTACATATATTCAAATAAATGGGGGGAACTATGAACTTTGATGGCACTATAGTAAGTTATTTGAAACAAAAGTCCAACCAAACAAAATGGCTACTGATGCCTTCCAAAAACCGAGAGAAACCAAACATCTCCTCTTAACACAAGTACAGATAACAGCTTGTTTTAAAACAGTCAGAACTTTCCAGCTCTAAAAACCAACAAAAAGGATTTTTTTGCTCTCTTACATGTAGGAAGAAAGTAAGGGAAATTACTTCCCAAGTAAACAAACAGTCTGATGACATATATGTAGTACTTTTTTAGGATGATCATACAAAGGACAACAGTGCAGTATATTAAAAATTCTCCAGAATCTACCTTATTTAAGGGTATCTCTGGTTTGGAATGTTTTTAACACTGAGGTCCATGAGTGGAGTCAACAAACAAAGGATTCTGAGGTGAAATGCAATATCCCCGGTCTTAGGTTAGGAGAAAACATGCATAATCTGTATTACCTTTAGTGCAAAAAAAAAATAAAAAAAAAAATCCAGGAGTTATAATCTGACCATTCCAATATGATTGGTATTTTGAAATTATATCAATATATTAACCTCCACATTATCCTTATGAGGTTGTGAAGAAGCACTCATATGCAAACATATGGAACAGTTACTTCTCAAGCCAAAAATCATATTTAAAAACTTCAAATTAGCATAAATTCTCCTTAACACAGTCACACTATTTTCAGTAGTGTGCACAATGTCAATAAACCGAGAGCTCATTTTTCAGAAGAAAATTAAATATTTAAAAAGGCCCCTGATATTATGAGGATTGTAAATTACATTTCATGTCAAGGAGAAAATGAAGATTTATTTTCCATTCAATAGCTAAACCAACTAAATTCTAAACACACATTGTTTTTAGTAATCACAAAATCATAACAGATTCAGAAAACAAATTTTAGCAGCAAATAAAAAACAAAACAAAAATCACTTTTGACAAAGGAAAATAGGAAAAGCTGTGTTTATCAACACCAACACTAACCATGGATTTTACTCTTATCTTCTAAGTTAGAGGAAAATTTTCTCAGGTATCAGATCAAATTATAACAGAGTAACAGAAATTATTAACAGAGAGGAAACTAAATCTTCAACTTTCTCCTGAAATATATAGAAAGTAATTGTTTCTATCTCATTAAGCGCCAATCAATTCATTTTATTTTGCAACACCAATCTGATATCGCCATTTAATAGAGCTACAATAATGAATCAATTATTCATGCAGCACTAAAACTCGGGTCCTGCTTGAATTAAATCATACATATATCAGTTAGGTATATAGAAAGGGTACAGTAGTCTGCAATATTAAAACCTTTTCAAAAAAATATTACTACCACTTCAGTTTGATGTAGAACAACAACAGAATGGTCAAAACAATATTTGGTTAACCAGCTGTGGTGTTGCAAATTTCAGGTACACTCAAATCATGTCTTATAAGCAAGAACTTGCAGGACTAAACTAACCTCTGTCTGCGGTCACAATCCTTTGGTAAGGATGGACACGCATATCGTGCCTTCGAACTTTAGTAGCCACCGCACCTAGTTAAATTGCAATTACCAAGAAAGTTAGAAAACATTTGAAAAAACATTAACAGCAGGCTTATCAAAATGAAGTTTAAATGATCGCCTTTAAAAAAATCATTTAAACTAAGCAACAAGTTAAGGCACAGTAGTTTCATTTTTCACCTTAGTATACTGAGTATATACGCACAAATTAATATTGCATTTATTTTAAACATCCGGGTCTTAACCTGCATCAACAATTCATTACAAGCTTGATTACAGTATTTCATGACATCTATTAAACCCAGATACTTGAGCTTTACTAGTCACATATTCACTGAAGTGCCTTTCTTGCAGCAGGACTATCTTAAATAATAATGCCATTTTTAATACTGAAGGTACGTTGCTAATTTAAAATAACTTCCAGTTTTTACCATTTAAAAAAGTTTTGAAGCAATTCCTCAAGCCTACAGACCGATTTAAAACTAAGTCAATAACAGTGAACGGCAATGAAATAGGTGATTAGTAAAGCAAATAGTACAGAATACATAGCAGTCAGTATACTACCATACACTCATATATCACAACTAGTTTTATCATAGCACAGGCTATTCCTAATTAATAGTATTTTTATTTCTATGTGCAAAAAAGTGCAAGTACGTCACTGACTGCTAGGCTACAATTTTTCCAAGGCTGTTGAAAACTAAGCATTTGTTAAAAGTCAGCTTTGATGAGGGTTAAGACCATTTTCCAATTCTTAGCCTTTCGTTGGGAAAGCCATACCTAAAGGTAAAAGGAAGGGAATTAAACATTAGTCATTTATGATTTGATGGTCTTAGTAATCTTACCTTACAAATCATACATTTTCCCAAATCAACCTTCTGAGAATGATAACAGCTTTCAACACATTTGAGTTTTGCACTTTATTAGTGGTATATAAATTTGCCAATTCCAACAGTGACCAGTTTGTCCCATTTGCTAAAGAGTTCCATTCTACAGGCATTTTTCACCATAGTAAACATTGCCCTAACTCTAAAAATAAAGCCGCCACACTAATAGTAATGGTATATGCACTGCAGCACCTATAAAACCTTAGGTTTGGTGCCTTATTTTGAAGTTCACTGAGTAATACCACACACACATTAAAATAAGTACTTATACACAGTTGACCCTTCACATTTGTGGGTTTTACTTTTGCAGATTTGATTATTCATTGATTTGATTATTATGTTCCCTCTAGGGACCTCTGGGCATGACTCCATAGCCAACTATCATCATATAGTTGCCCAGGAGATTCTAGAGATTCCTAGAAAGAACCCTTGCTCCAGCAGGTTTTTATGGACAATGTCCAGCAGACGTTTAATAGAGTTGCACTGGAAGATCTAGAGATTCCTAGAAAGGTGTTCTCTCAGATAAAAAAGTGTTTTTTAATCTGTGGGTTTTCCACTTTTGTGGGAATCCTGAGCCCCTAATCCCAATGAATGAGGAGAGTGGACTATATTATCATAACATAAAGGGAGCAGTTTGGAGGTCCATTGTTAAACAGTGCATCAAGTTAAGGTAAAATGTGTACTTCTTTAAAAAATGCACAGCATTACTTCCTTTCTCTTCAAATGTTAGAGTACTGATGTGTCACTGAATAGTTGGAAGAGACTAAAAATAATCCAGTTCCAAGGAAATTAGGAATGGGCTTTATCAATACCTGATGCACTTTTAAATACACATGAAATTACATGCTAATTGTGTGTGATTTGGATAACTTCCTATTTAGGAAAGCACACTTGGGCTAATAAGTTATTTACTGACCATTTGGGGAAATATTTCATTTGCCTTTTCATTGAACTATGACACTTTTTAATAATTTCATATGATCACTAGTTTAAAATGTTGGAAAACTCCCATGAGGACCTCTAGGTAAGATAACTGCAGCATATTTCTCGATTAATTAAATAAATTTACATCTACAAAGTTTTGACAAATTATGACCTCTGAATGTTAGTAGTAACTAACTGCTGAACAAATTTTAAAAGAGAACTATCATATACTAACAACAAAGCACAATACCAAGATTATGTACATTTCACAACAAAAAATGGCAGAAAAGGTTACATTTATTTGGGACAAGGGACTGAAGGCAACCACTCGAATTGTCTTTTGACTGTGTTGGATGTTACTGTTTAGCCTTTGTATAATGGTCAGTGAAAACAAGTGTCACAAATTATATACATTTCAATATTTAGGATGAAAGGAGGTGTCAACAATGTTTTAAATTGTAAACAAGATTATTTAGGCTGTCATCTAATTACATTTACTGTAATTGCTTTACAATAAAAAGTACTGATAGTCAACATTAATTGTGTAATATATACAAATCTATCTTTTCCAACCAACCCCGAGGAAGAGGTACCATCTTTCTTTAAATTATGGGCCAACCCTGTTAATAGTATCTTGAATCCAAACTTCTACTATACTCAATACGCTTTGGAGCTGTGTTTCAATCAGTAATATGCCCCAGAAATTATGAACACACATGTATCCTGCTTTTTCAGTGGACCAATGCCTATACACTGATGAAAGAAGAACGAGTCCTACTTTGAAAAACATGGAATGGAAGATTTATCTAAATTAGTGGCTTATGTTTTCACATTTCAGTCCCTCTCATAGTATCCTAGTGTATCTCACGAAATAATTTGAAAAATATTGCTGCGGGCTCATACACTAAACCAGTATTCCTCAATATGGTTCTGCAGCTTTTTTGTCATGTACGTCTGACATTTTTGAGGGATACATGAGAATTGAAATACAAAATATCTTGAGGTCACTGGGTTTAGCTACATTAAATCTATAAAGCTGCTTTTATTTTTAATTTTGACTCATAATTACAAAAAATATATATTTTCAAAATCTGAAAAGCAAAAAGATAGTGAAACATATACCAAGAAAAATGCAACAAGGTGCCAATATGCTTAAATACTATTTTCATCAAAGAAACAACATCCCTTGCTGTAGCAAACAAGGCACTCCCAGAGAAACTAGGTTAAGACAGTATGTATACTGTAAATATACCACATTTCTCTTTTTAAGGCATAAGGCCAAAACACATCCTAATGTAACATTAAGGGAAATCAGAAGTCATAAAACAATAACTTTGGGACATATCACCTAATCTAATAATGGTGAATTAATTATCTGTGAAAAACTTACCTAATACACCACTGGTTTCAATAGGATACTCAAGAATTGATGTAGCAGGTGCCAATGTGTAGGGATACTCATAAGGTGTGTAAATTAAACCAGCCTCGGGTCCTGGGGGAACTATTGCAGCAGTTGGGTGAGGAGTTCCATTTGGCATGACAGCGGTCTGTATTTGTCTGATCAAAGGCATTATGGTAGGGCCAGCTGGCGTAGGAGTACGCAGGGCAGCTGGTGGGAGAACAGGCGCAGGCCCCGTGATAATTCTTGGAGCCTGGGCTGTTGCTGCAAGAGAAAAGGCAAGGGCTGCTACAGTAAGCAAAGAAATTTAGAAGAAAGTATGGAGACAGCAGTGCAAAACATGGATAGATGGGGAAAGTAGAAAGTAGAAAAGAAGAAAAATAAAAGGAAATCATTAGTACATGCATTGATCACACAATGCCAAAGCACACCATTCAAAAGCAAACAGCTTTCCATTTCCCAGTGTGATTAAGTATGAACATGCAAAATAAAAGCTAATTTAAAATGGTACAGTAGATTTCTAAAACAGATCACACAGCACAAAAGCTCAATTTAGACCACATGTTTGTTTGTTTTCATTACCTATGCCTTCAAGACTGCATGAGACTGAGAGGCATGCAGGAAACAAAGAAAATTCTGTTGTAATTGCATGTGGAATATTAAAATATAGTGAGATTACAAAGTCCACAGAAATTCAGTGAAGCTTAGCTATACAATATTAACATGTTTCAATGTATCATATTATGCAAACATTTTATTTGTTCATAACTATCAATTTCTCATATGGAATAAGCAGTGGGATATAAACAATGAAAGATAAATGCAGTTATACGCGTAGTTTTGTAAAATTCTACCAATATTTCTTCCACTTCAGTAGAGATAGAAAATATTTCTGTAACAGTTTCTAAAAATAGTATAGTTGTATGCAGGACAGAAAAATACTGTTTAAACATGCAGGGTTAAGATGCACAAAGTATGTAATATTGGCACTGCTTTCAAAATACTTAGATACTATCATTTTCTAGGAGTTAAGCCTTGTATTATTAACATATTAAAACAGTAAAATGCAACTTATTCATTTTAGAACAAATGGCTGCATTTTCTAAGCCATTTGGGGTAAGTGAAATAGTGAGAAAATTTGCCTTCATTTATTAATCTCTGCTGCAAAGAAGTAAGCAAATCTCTGCTTTCTTTAAATACAGACAGCACTATCAAATTGACGAAGGATGATAACATGTCAAATAGCGTTTTCATGCAACCTACCATGAGAACAAAAGTTGAATCAAAGCCAATTTGATTATTTCTGGTGCAAACTGCCCCAGAATGTAGATGTGTAGGTCTTGAATCATCACATGTTTTTAATCTTTTGTATGCTTTTAACATGTTTGCTGAATGAAAATGTCAGTGGGGTTTGAAAGCCTGCATAATGTGAGGTGTACTATGGAGTTGTCCCACTATTACAATTCGTGGATTTTGGAAATTGTTATATTTTGCTGCATGACCAACCCTGAATACGTTTCCTTTATTTAAAGATACACAGTTCAGTTGCAACAGGGGGACAGATGAAGTCAGATGATTGCGACTAAACAGTTTGAGGTTTTCTATCCTCAACAAAGATAACATTCTTTCACAGGACTACAACTGGGAAGTTTTTCTAGATGTAAATATACAGAGACTCCCTGGGAAATTCCATACTTTCTGTCTTATGGAAGGAGCAGTTGGCTTTGCTCAGGAGGGGGGCAGAGATCTCAAGGGAAGGTACTTTTTGTTGCTAATGGAGTTGAAACATTATTATTGTCTTTTTTTATTGCAGGTGGTCCCTAGTCCTTTCAAGGTCAAGTACACTGTAATCCCTCAACACTGTATTATCTGAAAGCAGAGTAACTTCTGAAACAAAATGCAGGGCAGTAAAGATTTAAAACTTACATAAAGTATTTTGTGCTCTGGAGTTAGCATATTAAAAGCATTGCTACTCGTGTACCTTGAAATTTGTTGTATGTTGCTGCATAGCCAACATGACTACCTGAGAATATAATGATGTATGCATGCCCAAAGCACCTTATGAGTGCTATAAAAATTTGTCTGAGAATCCTACTGAATGAGATGAGTTATGAGGAAGGTGGAGGTCATGGAGGATAATTTCAATATAGCAAGATTAGATTTCTGGGCATACAAGTTTGGAAAAAAATCTAAATGCCAAGAATTTCATCCCACCCACCCCCTGCCCGAAAACTGAAAACGTCAGTGCTGTGGACAGTGGATAAGAAAATAGGTTGACTTGTCATTTTATTTTCTTGGTGCCATGCAATGCCATGTTTTCCATAAGGAGAGCTTATGCCATAAGGAGAGCTTATGCCAATCTCTATTGTTTTATTTCACCAGTGTTATCCTCTTAGTAGACATCAGCACATAGGACCCATTCATGAAGATGGCACATCACTCAGTCTAACCCTTTCCCACTTAGTAGATCCTACAACTTCATTCCAATAGCAAACACTTATTTTTTTAAAAGAAGAGGAAAGTGTGATTGCATACTGAATGACTGACTAAATGGGATATGACAACCCCTCTGGGTTTTATCTTCTGAAACCTGATTAATATGGGAAAAAACCCCAAAAGAATTAGAAGAAAGAGGATAGGAAGTTGCTGCTAGCAAAAAAGAGAAAGCTGGAATGGAGTTCTCTGAGAGAAGGAAAAATTAGGACCCTCAAAGCAGTTTATGCTTTGTTTTGAAAACAGATGCTGGTGGCAAGGTAGTCAGGCTTATGGGAAACAAAACTATCTACAATATTTGCCATACTCTTTAATTCTCAAGGGTGTGGAGAGACAGACTGATGCTTGTTCTTTGGGGAAAGGAAGGCATTCCACAATATACTGAAAGGGAAAGATCTTTTTTTGTTTTTGCTCAAAATTTGATAAAGAAGCAAGAGGCTTCCAACTTAAAATTGGAATGTCTTCATTCAGATAACAAAAGAATATGTTCAGTCATATACTGATAAGGCAACAGAGTCAGGAGGAATAGGACCCTGAAATTAATGTTTCTCCTTTAGCATTGGTTACAAGGGAAGAGAACAGCCTCGAATTAGAATATTTAGGCTCCAATTCTAAGAAAGCCTACTTGGGAGAAAAAAAAATAATTTAAATATGATTTCAATATGATTCTATACCATTTATCTTGATTTAGAATCATTGTCACTTTTATCAACAAACACATAGATAAAAGCTCATTAGAAAATAATCAAAATCATCAGCACCTCCTTGTCTTAAGCTGTCAACAACCCAAGTCATTATACAAAAAAAAAAAACTCTTAAGTACAACTGTACTGAACTTTTAGTACTGGCCTCGTATTCCAACATCCTCTTTCGACGTCACATATAATACATCTTCAAACACTGCCATCAGAAGACCAAATAGAAGCATGCAGACAGAAACAGGATGCATCATATCATGTATCAAAAAGGCTTTAAAGACCTCTAAAGATATTCTTTGGCACAAATCACAAATTAGAAAGATCAACAGATGTCAATGGCAACTGGATATGAAATGCAGTCAGTTCATCTGAAAAGAACATGAAGAATTTCAGCCATCTGAAGAAAATAATAGTCTTACAATCCAATTGATTATATAACTGATTTGGCCCACCAAGAAATGACAAATACCTATATATCTACAGCATCATCATTTCATACAGCAGAAACTAATATACCACTGTAAATGTTTTGCAGCCTATTTTGACTAAAGCTTTGCTCTAACATATTTCTGCATGTCACAGAACTCTTAAAGATGCAAGAGACTTCCAGAAAAGAGTTGCATTCCATGACAATCTCTATGCATATTTTCAAAATATGCAGCCATGCCTCCTAATTTTTTTTCTTTTCAAAGCTGTAAGACATCAGGAATTTGTCTCTGAAGGACAGAGAAATTCCAGAGCACTTCGGAGAAGACTGGTCTATTGAGTTACGTAAAACGGCTTTCCCTTTCTTCAGTTAGTAACTTATTTCACAATAACCTAGGTTTTGGAGAAAGCCGGGCAGAATAATAAAACAGTGCCAAGAATGAATTATAGGTCCATTTGTGATACTGGACATTTAAGGACTTGTTATCAATGTTATTTCAAGCAGAAGCCCAGGTAGATGAAAGGGCTATAGAGTGGAGTGACATGTTACCCACTCCTTCTCATGCTTCATTCCACTATGGCATGGCACAGAACTCAGAAAAGCTGACACTTTTGGTGAGAGTAATTGCAGCCAGATCAAAACAATGCATGCTACCACTGCCATAAAGTTGATGCCAGAAAAGGTTAGGAAGAATGGCCAAGACTGAATATGGATCAATTTTTTTAAATAGTTCAAATAAAATGATACCTACAAAAAATGGAGTGCCTGAAGTAAAAGTATTACTGCAACCACACCCCTGCTCTACTCACACTGGTGTGAAAGGGGCGGGGGGTTAACAGTTGGTTAACTACTGTGTTAACTTTGAGCCACAAGAAACAAGACAACAGACACCATTAGGCTTGTGCACAGATTTGGATTGGTTGGTTCCCTTAAGCCAGCCCAGGCTGCTCGGCTTGTTCAGCTGGCCATAACGATAAGGGCTCAGCCACCTTTTTTTTTATCCGAGTTGATCCATGTGGCTGCCGGGCACGACTTCTTCCTTTCAATTTGGGAATTGCAACACATGCTTTCTTAACCCTGTTCCTCAAACCTAGGCTCCCTCAAAAGGAAGAAAGAAAAGGGTCCAAGGAAGGGTGCTTCCTTAACCCTGTTCTTCAAACCCAGATTCCTTTGAAAGGAAGAAAGGAAAGGGTCCCAGGAGGGGTGTTTCCTTAGCCCCGTTGCTCAAATCCAGGCTCACTTGAAAGGTAGAAAGAAAAGCAGCCCAGGAAGGATACTTCCTTAACCCCGTTTCTCAATCCTAGGCCCCCCAGAATTGCAGGAATGGAAAGGGGAGCCTCTTAAATTCCCCATTCCTGCCAAAGGGTCGGATCATCCTGGATTTTTCGGCTACCTAGCCAAAAACAGGTTTTTCCCTTAGCTAATTTTCAGGAGGCTCCCGAAAATGGATCTGGGTACCCAACAAAATTAGGATACTGAAAACAGATCGCCCTCCAGCTGATTGCATAAGCCTAGACAGCATGCTAATCCTACATGGGTTGTTATGTCTGGATACATTTTAAAAACTGTCTTCTTTAAACCATATTTTTACTACTTTTATCAGAATTGTATCTTTGTGACAACACCCAAAACTAGAGCAGAAAAAGAAGAAAAATATATAGCTAAATCATCCTTATTCCCCTCTATCGTCATAGAAAAATCTATACTACACAATGTGGCTGTATCTGTAGCACAGTTGGCATATGCTATGAAAAAAAAAACCCTAAACTTGGCCAACTTCATAGATTAGAGAGAACAGCGAAACATTATGAAATGGTCTACTACTGAATTATAGTACTGACTGCAGTTGTTGTTTTAACAGTTAAGTCAGACTTGGCTTCAAGGTCTTGGGCCAGCTCTAGAAATAAGCCAATAAAATCTGCCTGTTTTAAGATAGGCTGAAGAGACAAATTACTCAAAACAGAAACCAAGTTGCCTGGTAAAGGAGGTGTTATCTACTGTATCAATCCTTCTGATTAGTAAAACCTTTCTATACTCAATATAAAAATGGAGCAAGCTGCCAGAGGAGAAGTGGAAACTTTTACACTTCTTCTAGCACTAAGTTCTTTTCTCTCTATGGTTTCTAAAGTTGTATGGAGACCAAGCAAATCATTAAATAGAACTGTCTCGAGTACAAATTTTTTGTAAGCCTAGCTTCTCAACTTCTTTTCCCTCCGGTATGTAAAGAATCATACATAAGGTTTTCTACATGGAAAGCACATGCTTTGCTGAGCTACAACCCCTACTGAACAGAAATGTTGCTGCTGAAAACCATGCTATCATTTTTTGAACCTTACTGCTTCATAAAGGGAAAACAATTCGGGCCAAAAATCTCCCAACAAAAGGAACTAGACACACACCTGGTAATAGGGAATATTGAGCCCTAACACCACAGTTCTGTATCTGAAGCTCAATGTAGTGTTGGTGAAAAGAATACTTTCCTTCCTCATGAGTGAATTAACAGAATGAATTGTTAACTACTGACTTTCTCTCAGTGTAGAAGAAAGTTTTTGGACAGACAAGATTTGTAATTTCCATGCCTCTAAGAGATTTCTAACAGAATGAGTGCTGTCACTGTCTGTTCACCAAGGAAGAAACGACTTCCAATAATTCTGTTTGCTGACTAGGGTTATCGCGTAACAGTGCCTTGAACACATTTTCCAGAATGCTGGCAAGTAGAAATGAGCAGGCTTACTTTTCACTTAACTTGTAAATAAATGCTAGTTTCTCTTAGTTTCTCTGAAACTACATGGGCTAGAGATCCAAAAGGGGGTCAAATTACATGATTACTCTAAATAATAGCATCATCAGGGTCATATACGAATAAGCAAATTTTGAAAACTTGCCATTTCACATCAATATACTGTAGGCTCCCGCACAGACGGCCCATATTATTAAATTTTAATGATGCAAATGAGTCCACGTGAATGTCATTGCCATTCTTGGAATTAGCTGTGGCAATCTGTGGTTGATTAAGACCTCAGATTAGTAGTGCCCAATGTATGTTTACATAGATAATGTTTGAGAATTCACCCCCAAGTATGGATAGGATTTTAATGAACACACATGCACCTAGAATATTTAAACACTATTTAAACATATGCAACTGTCCTGTCCTCATGCTAGAAGAGAAAGATAACTTTTCCGCTATACACTTTTAATATAGCTACATGTTAAATACATGCATCTGGAGTTTTCAAAGCACTTAGCATTCCTGATCAAAGGCCAGAAACAATTTTTGGTTTGTACTCTAGAAAGTATTATTTCTCTGGATCATCTACACATTGATAAAATGAACTATTCTGTCTGCATCATGTCCTTATTATTTTGTGAGAGTGTAGCTAATTAAATAAAATAATACTGACACAAAATTGCCTAGATCATTTCCTGAACTTACCCTAATGTTTTGAATATGATTGAAATTTTACCCAATAGTTAAGAGCTAGGCATTTAGTTTAAATACAACACTGAATATATGCAGTCCATGAAAATACGCCAAACAATTTATTTATTGTATTTGTATAACGCCTTTCTCAGGCGGTCAGCAACTCAAGGCTGCTAATCAAGATGGCCAGTTGAAGCATTCATATCTAGCTCCAACAGACAAAAGTTCTTTGTCCCACCCCGGACATTCCACAGATATATAAACCCAATTTTCCTAGTTCCAACAGACTTCACAACCTCTGAGGATGCTTGCAATAGATGCAGGCGAAACGTCAGGAGAGAATGCCTCTAGAACATGGCCATATAGCCCGAAAAAACCTACAACAACCCAGTGATTCCAGCTATGAAAGCCTTCAACAATACAATGACAGAATATGCAGAATTTCTTTATAATTTGTACTTCATTGGTATACTGTGTACATTGATATAATGGCAATGAGAAACAGTAGTTTCAGAACAGAAACTTGTGTTCCATTGTGCCCAGTTCAATTGTGCTTTGGTGAGGATTTGAAAAGTATTGTCTAAATCCTACAGGTAGATTCTGTGTGTGGGACCTTTCTCTGTATTTGAGGATACCCAATATGGATGTAAACAAGTAGTCATTTTTCTTCAAAATGGTCACCTGGACAGCAGCAACTACCACTGGATGTTCCAAGTACAGAGAGAAAAATGGTGCCAATGAGAATTTAATAGGATCCTGTGTTCCTTCTTCCAACAATGATGACCTCTCTCCAAGCTGTGCAAATTTCTGGACTCAATCCTCAAAGGCAGTTCCCTTATTTCCCAGAACACTCTGCTGCTTGGGATAATAAGACTAGGCACAGCTCTTGGCATCTATTGTAAACTTTGGCCAGCCACATTCACAAAGTTGTCTTCTTCTACAATTGGGAAATGAATAAGCAATGCACTCATGCTTGTCTGAAAAGCAGTGACTATCTGACTTTGTGTCTTAGGGTTTCAGCACTTGTCTGCACTCTCCTGTTACTTTCTTGGGTTGCACTCCTCAGCCAGCTGTGCTCAAGAATTAAGAGTTAATTTGCAGCTTCTGCTCCAAGTTCTCAGGTTGTGGATGGGATTCATTTGAATTTGAAGACTCTGAGGAATACAGAATGCTTTAGGTGTGCTTTGCTTCAAAACAGCTGATTTTGGGAGATCTATTCTACTTAGACTGGCTCCTGCATTGTAACAAAATATCTAATTATAATATAAGTTTTGAATATGTTTATTAATGTTAGTATATGGCAAGCACAGGCCAGCCCTAGCTACAGCTGCTTGGTTGATGCGTTGCCATCATAATAAAGCCTGCAGTAGAAATGTATCTATTTCAGCAGAGCTAGGAAGAGAAAGGGGTGGAGCGAACTGCCAAAAGCAAAGTAGACATTTTAAAATATTAGTCAGTGTTTAGCTGGGTGAGCTAAAGGAAGGTTGGTTCTGGCTATGTTGGAACTAGACCAAGGAGTTTAGGTCTTCAGCCTTGTTATTTAGAGTGTTAAATGAACCACTTCTGAATCAAAAACTATCATGTGAGCTAGAAGAAAGGAATTCCCAGAATTATATTGTGTCTTCAGTGGCAGAGCTGAAGTAAATAAAAGGAGAAACTGTGCCTAAGTGTCAGTCAGTGGGGCTGAGGAGAAAAGTGTTATTTGAGAAATAAATTCAGTTAACCTATTGCTAAGGTGAAGAAACTGCAAGATTAAAATTACTCAATCAGGAGACTGAGAAAGAACAACATTTTAAAATGAACGAAGTTACTAAACTAGGCTGGCAAACGATAAGCCATTCTGGAAATTATATAGAAACTGTTTCAAGTGTTCATGATAATAAAAGTTAACTGAAACAATATCCAAGAAATACTGTGAAGAAAATACTGTGTAACCAATACGCTTTGGGTGCCTGAGAATACTTAAATAAGTATTTCTTTGTTCAATTTCTTACAACAAAGACTTGTGTAAGTAACTGAAGTGAAGATTTACTTCAAGGAAGATGGCTGAAGATCATTTGGAACAGAATTCAGTTTATGGTACTGGGTTACACATATTAAAGGGACACAAACAAGCATTTTAGTTAAACCTCTCTCATACAAGCCTCACTCAAGCCTCTCTCTCACACAGACAATGCAAGTGTTCAGCCACAGCTACACTACCACTATTCGCTCTCCTCATTGCCCTGTTTTATTTGCCATATGTTCATCCCATAATTAATGGTGGCAGTGGTGGGATAACAAAAATAAAGGTCCCTCCTGCCTTTTTCCCTTCTGTCTACGTTCCATGCATCAATTCAAAACATCTTAAGGGATATTCTCAAATAGTTCAAGATCTCTCCATGCAAAATAGTTCTAAAATGTCTCCATGAACAGATGATGGCTCTCCTTCTGATGCGTGGCTCAAGAAAGAAGAAAAGGAATGGAAGAATCATTTATAAGAGAGGAAATTGGAGTGAATTGGTTTGAAATCAGTAGAAATTAAAATACTTGACCAAAGCTAGGCAATGTGAAAATTGTGAGAGAATAGTTCCCACAGATGTTTTTGTTACAGCTCATGTCATCTAGGCTTTGCCTACCAGAGTGTGTAAAAGAAATAACTGTACAAATATGCCTTTTACTGTAAGAAAATGAATTCAGTTTTAAAAACTGGAGGGGTTGCATATGGATACCATATATAACCTTCTGCACATATGTTTTCATTTGTCTTAAGCGTATTTTAAAAGAACCAGAGGGACACTAGTTGTGAAAATCATCTATTCCCTGCAAATGCTAATTCCACAGTCAGAATTTGCACAAGCAGCCTCCGTCTGCATGGCTGTGTCATAGAGAATGTAAATCAGCCATACACAAGCCATTCAAATGGGAAAAATTCTTCTCAAGATACACAAAAATAAGATCTTCATTAAGGAAACATACAATAAGCACAGAAAACATGTAATTCCTCCACTTCGAATAGCAGGCTCTGTTAACTGTGCATGATGCCATCACATTTTAAATGCTCTAATGCCATCATACCACACCAACTGACGAGAATTATTAACTGGCAACATGCATGCTTTGGAAAGTAAGACAGGACACATGAAGCACATCTACAGAAAGCACTCTTTATGAGAATCAAGAAATTGAAAAAGTCACAAAATGAATGAAGGAGCAGGGATTACATACAGAATTCAGGATATATTTTTTCCTATCCTATTTATTATATTTGAACAAGCAATTTATGAGAATCTTCATATGCAGAGGGCCACAGCTCTGTAGTACTTACGTGATTTGATATTGGCGTCTCTGTAGGTGCCATTGAGAATTGCAAGTTCCATCAACTGCATCTTTTTAAGGCTATCTTCTCCCTCTGCCTACATAAAAGAAGCTGAGTATTAGAATCACAGTTTATAATATTAACATAGCTGAAAAAAGTTTATTTAATTCTACACGAAATAGGAAATTGAATCATTTTTTTTTTTACATTTTTAAACATTTTCTGACACTGCTCTGTTCTCATGACATATGACCTTCTCTTTTTGGTCCCAAATTCAAAAAACATTCTTCTGAACTCTATTGAATAAATACTTCTATTTCCTGTGCAA